TGGCCGCGCGGCGCCGGCGGGACATGGCCATGGCTGACCGGAGCGCGCCGAGCTGCCACCTGCGCCTCGAGTGGGTGTACGGCTACCGCGGGCACCAGTGCCGCAACAACCTCTACTACACGGCGGCCAAGGAGATCGTCTACTTCGTGGCGGGCGTCGGCGTCGTCTACAGCCCCCGCGAGCACCGCCAGAAATTCTACCTGGGCCACCAGGACGACATCATCAGGTACCGCGGGGGCACCGCGAGCGGCGGCGCCCCGGGCGAGCGGAGCGGAGCGGCAGCAGGGCCGGGGCCGGGGCGCGAGCCGTAATCCGGAGCCTGTGCGCCGGTAATGCCGCTGCGGAGGAGGTTAAGCTGCAGCAGGTGGGCTCGGCCGCCGCGGAATTAGCGCCGCGAAGCATCAGCGCTGCCCGCGGCTCAGCCTTCCTCCTCCTCCTCCTCCCTAGTGCGCTCGGGTCAGTGCTACCGGCTGCAGACGTGGGGGGAACATAATTTAAAAATAGTGTTGTAGCACCTAAAAGATATACCAGTGTTATTCCCACGCTGCCTTTCCCCCCGTGGGTGTTTTTATCCATGTGTGGGGAGCACGGAGGGCAGATGTGAGCCTGACTCATCAGTCTGTTCCCTTCCAGTAGGTGTCATTGCGGATGGGTTATTTTAACGCTGATCCCTTCTGCCCTTGCCCTTTGGGAAGGGGTTAGGAGTAGCCCGCGGGCCGGTGCTTCGCCGCCCAAAGGTGTTTTCGCGGCTCCACATGGCGCGTCCGGACGCGTTGGGCACCGGTAACAGGTACTGCCATACCCGGCGCCTCGCGCCAGGCTGTGCGTGCGTGTGGGGAAACCCGGGCTGCTTTGGCGCTTGGCCTTCCTCGTGGAGAACTCACGGTGCCTTTTAGGCATAGCTGTCTTGTCCTTACTGCTAACGTGTAGTACTTTGCACTTAATGCCATGTGCCCGGTGCCGTTCCTCCTGGTGCTTCCCTGGTGCTCTGCGTTTCGGGAGGGCTTCCCGCACCCCGAGCCGTGCGGCTTGAACCGCACGCAGGGAAGTTGTGCGTGTTTCCTAGGGAAACAGTTTAATTGGTGTCGCTCTCAGTTTTGGTTCAATCAGCTTGATTTTGCCAAAATGCGAGTGAAGTCGTTATTCAGAAGGCTCCCGGGAGCGAGAGGAGCTGACAGAAGTAGGGACATCAGGGAGGCAGCAACGCAGAGACGTTGCCCGATGCGCTGGGGCTTGTGCTTTGGTGTGTGTGGTACCGTGGTCCGGGCACTGGGGATGCTCCTGCTTGTGTCGTGCTGATGCTGAGCGGATGTAACATCCTTCCATTTCAGCTCTCTGCACTTGGAATGTTGGACGCTGCTTGAACTCACAGAGCCTGTACGGAGCTGTTAGCATGCTAACGCAGGAACACTCAGTTTAAAATCACTATTTTTTTTCTAATAGTAAGATTATACTTGCATTTCTAAAAGCAGCGTAGTCCTATTTACACGACAGCACCCCATGCTTTTCATAACTGAGTGCCTAATGATGTTGGTTCTCAGTATTTGAAGCAGTTGCAGTAAAGATGGGTGCAAAAATGAGATTATGTAATACAGCATTGTTTCATTTACATTCATTGTTTCAAACTCAATATGCTTCATTTTTAATATGCTTTGCGAGCAAGTACCATGTGAATTCCAAGGCATTGGTGATGTTCTAGGGATCAAAACTGAAGGACTGCTTGCCTATGTGAAAAGTAAAGGATCACATTTGTGGAAGCATGTCTGATGTCTGAAATGTTCTATATTTAAAAAAACTCCAACTTGAACGAGCACAGCTCTGCAGCCACACAGATTAAGCAACATAGATCACATGCTCTGTGGTGATATTATTAGTACTCTTCATTATAAGAGCCTTTTTATCGTTATGCTTTGAATAGCATTCTAATTTTAAGCAGCAGTCAGGAAGAAAAGAATTGCAATCCTTAAGCCAGAGATCAGTGCTTTGTCTTTAATAATAGTAGTAGTAGATTAATCGACAGATTGAGCGTATTTTCCATGTGAAAATACCTTTCTAGCACTGATAATTGATTTGGCTTCTTCAATGAGATTTTTCGTATTTTTATTAAATGGGAATTTACAAGCTTGCTCTGTTTTTTTTTTATACGATTAGATGCTTCTGTGTCATTTATTTTCAATATAAATATCTTAAACATGTTTTCAGTCCCAGCTTCAGTTTAACCCTCTGAGTTAACTGTGCACTGAAAAAAATGTAGTTTCTTTGTGTTTGGCCTTCAATTTTTTCAATTGCATGGATTTTATTTATTTATTTATTGGTAATAGAAGAGTGGAGCTAGGGTCACTTAGGTTACTTCATGTAGCAGAGATGTAGAAAAGAGTAATACTTTAATGCTTCTTTTATTAGTTGTTCAATTCAAAAAAAAAAAAAAAAACTCAATCATTTTGAATCTCAAAAGGATTTTTTGCTGTTTTCTTTTGAACCTTTCTGGGAATTAGTTTCCAGAAAGGAACCACCGGTTCTAGGGGATGGATAGCACCATGTTATCATTTCTATGCCATTTGTTAAGCCTCTGCATGTGCCTGCTGCTGAGCATTTGGACACTTGTGGAGGATGTGTCTCTAGTTGCACAAAGGTGGAGAAATTTGTATCTTTTGATAGTGCTGGTAGCTGATTTCTTCCTTGGAGATTTTTCTGCCTTTTTTGGTGAGGAAATAAATTATGTAAATGAAACCCTGCCACTTCAGCTTATTTTAGTATAATAGGAGTGTCCACCTTTTTTTTTTTTTTTTTTTTTTTT